CGCCTCCTGAGACTCCCTACCCCCACCACCACCGCCACCACCGCCACCTCAAACCCTTCACCCCGCCGTGCCCCGCAGCGTGCTGCTGCGCTTCCTGGACCCAATGCTGCGCGGCGCGGCGGGGGTGGGCAGCTGGCAGGTGGCCAGCCAGGGGCGGGCGGCGGCAGGCGGCCTGCTCACCGTCATGGCGGACCTTGCTGGGATCCAGGTGGGGGTGTGGGGCTGGTGGGGTGGGGTGGGGTGGGGTGGGGTGGGTAGGGCTAGGGCTGGCGCAGGCTGGGGTGCGCCTTTCTGAGCTGCGCCCCGGGCGGCGGCTACTGTTGGTGGGCGTGATGGGGGCAGGAGCAGCTAGACCCTTCCCCCCGCCGCCTCACACGCGCCACAGGCACAACAGCATGCCCGCACTGGACTTGCCTCACCGACCCCCCCCCTGCCCCCCAACACACACACACACACTCTGGACTGCTGTGCCCCCCCCGCTCCCTGCAAGGCCAGCGCTTTGACGAGCCGCAGGTCATCGTGGCCGACAAGCTGACTGGCAACGAGGACATCCCGGTGGGTGGGTGGGAGAGAGGGGGTGCTGCTGGGGCTGCTGCTGGGGCTAGTGCTGGGCCTGCCGCGCCGCGCTGGAACGCCCTGCCAGCGCAGCTGCCGCCCCAGATCTGCTGCCATGCCGCGGCCACTCCGCCCGCCATCCATCCATCCCTGTGGCCTGCCTGTGAGCCGCCTGCCTGCCCGAACGCACGCCTCGCCTCATGCTTCCGCCGCCCTCTCCCTGCCCGCGGCCTGCAGGAGGGCGTGGTGGCGGTGCTCACCTCCTCCCCCACAGACGTGCTGTCCCACATCGCCATCCGCGCCCGCGCCCAGGGCGTGCTGCTGGCCACCTGCTTTGACGCAGAGGGTGCGCCGCCATTGCCACTGGACCCCGCCCCTGCCCCTGCCCCAGCCTGCCCCGGCCCTCGGCTTTCCCGGCTGCCCCTCCTGCTCGCCCCGGCTGCTGCGCCGCGCCGCCCGGCAGTGGCGGCTGATGTGTGGAGGCGCAGCGGGTGGATGGCGGCGGCCCGGCCCGCGCTGCCAGCTGCCTGGCCCTGGCCTGTGCCTGGTCCTGCTCTGCTTGCTGCTTGCTGCCTGAGTCTCAATGGCCTGAGCCCCCCTCTGCCCCCCTCTGCCCCTCCCTCCCCGCACCCCCCACACACCTCTTGTGCAGAGCTGGATGCCATCAAGGGCCGGGCAGGCGGCCACGTGTCTGCCTCTGTCACGCCCACAGGCAGCGTGAGCGTGGCGGCGGCCGAGGCACCCGCCGGCGGCGCCGCCTCGGGCGCCTCCTCGGCTCCCCGCCTCACGCTGCAGCGCCCCCAGTCCGTGGGCGGCAGCGGCAGCTGGGTGCTGGCTGAGTCGGAGTTTGGGCCGGGCGTGGTGGGTGGCAAGAGCGCCAACCTGGCGGCCCTGCGCTCCAAGCTCCCCGCAGGGTGAGCGCCGCCGCCGCCGCCGCCGCCGCCGCGCAGAGAAAGGGCGCCTACCTGCCGTGGTCTGCCGCGCCGTGCGGCGCGAGGCAGCGCAGGCACGGCGTGCCCAGCGCTGGCATGGTCGCTGCCTGCCGGTCCCCCCTGCCGAGCACCTGCCCACCTGCCCACCTGCCTGCCTGCCTGCCCGCCTGCCTGCCCGCCTGCAGCGTCCAGGCCCCCGCCTCCATCGCCCTCCCCTTTGGCACCTTTGAGCGCGTACTGGCGGCAGACTGCAACAAGGCGGTGGCGGCTGCGGTGGTGGCCGAGGAGCAGCAGGCGGTGAGCAGAGGCGCCTCGCGACTGCTCCCGTCCCGCCGCCTCGCCCTCTGCTGCCTGCCCCAGCCAGCACGCCCTCGTGCCCGCTGCTCCCCACCATCCGCCAGATCATCCGGCGGCTTGTGCCGCTGTTGCGGCGCCTGAGCCTCCCTCTTGCAACCCCCACCCCACCCCACCCCACCCCACCCCACCCTGCCTGAGCCTCCCTCCCGCACCCCCCCTGCCCCTCTGCCTGCGCAGGCCGCGGCTGCGGGCGGCGGCGAGGTGCCCCAGGCCCTGCCCTCCCTCCGCTCCCTCATATCTGCGGACCTGGCAGCCCCCGCTGGCTTTGCCCAGGCGGTGGCCGGCGCGGCGGCGCAGGCGGGGCTCATCCCCTCGGCCGCCGAGTGGGCCGAGGGCAGCGCGGGCTGGGAGGCGGCCTGGCAGGCCATCTGCCAAGTGAGTGTGGGCTTAATGGTGGTGGTGGTGTTGGGGGGTATGTGTGCAGATCGATCTGCACACATACCTGCGTGTATGTGGTGTATTGGGGGTATGTGCAGGTTGTGTGTGCGTGCGGCTTGGGGGGCGGCTGTGCTGGGCAATGAAGGGCACTGGACCTACCTTGCTGCCGCTCACCTCTTGGCCACTGCTGCTGCTGCTGTAT